TGCGAGGGGCGCTCAGGATGCCTTCAGGGCAGGTCTGGCTTGGCTTGAGGATGAGGGGATCGAACACCAGAATTCTGAGCCTGACTGCTTTGTTTCAGCAGGCACTTAAACACCAGAGCTAATGGGCAGGCCCCTGAAACAGGAATTTTTTAAAGTTACAAACACTGGCCAGGGAAATGGCTCAGTAGAATAAGTGCTTCCCTGGGGTCTGGGTTTAATCCCTGGTTCTGCCAAAAAAAAAAAAAAAAAAAAGTTACAAACATCACTATTCAGTTATAAACTACAGCTACTCAGGAGGCTGAGACAGGACAATTATAAATTCAAGGCTAGCAGGGATAATGTAGGCTCTTTCAAGAAAGCTAAAGAAAAGAGAGAGAGACAGAGAGATGTAGAGAGAGAGAGACAGAGAGACAGAGAGAGAGAGACAGACTGACTGACTGACTGACTGACTGACTGACTGACTGACTTGGTTTGGAAACTGTAGGCAACACTGTGCTTTCAGCAGCCAAATAGCCCTCAATCCCTTTTGTTCTGTTCCTTAGCTATTAAAGACAAATTTCATGTAGCAAATGAAAAGAAACAAAGCTTGGTATTTCAGAAGGCAGGAAGTAAAACAGAAAAATTTATAATGTTTAGTATTGTAAATACTGTTTAGTATTTTATGGTTTATAAAGCACTCATTTGAGATTTTTTTTTTTTTTTTTTTTTTGGTAACCCTAGGAGATAGATGGCATTATCCCTGTTTTATATGGCAGAAAACTACATAGCTTTAGTATGAAAATTTTCTTAAATATGAGATTCTTATACTGTAGGAGAGACCCAATTATTTCTTTCTGGATTGTTTTCTGTAGATTCATTTGTCAGTCAATGTTTGGCTAATATATAAATATATAAATATAATGAATGACTGACTAGTACAGAAACATTCCCTTGGAACACAAGTTCAAGTTTCATCACCAGTTTGTAGAGAAAAATTTATCAGGAAGCATAACAGACAACTAAATAGCTATGTGAACTAGGAGAATAGTTTAAGTCTGAATTTAGGAGGTCCATAAGCAAATTCCACAATGCTGTGAGGCATATCAAGGTTGAAGGATTTAAAAACAAAAAAATAATTAAGTACTGCTGGGTATTAGAATCCTACATTATTAAATATTTGTTCATTGTACCATAGGCAGACACAGGAAAAATATTCTAAGAACACACAATCAAACAAAGTCCTCTAGTTAGAATTGATAAAGCCTTACCAAAAAAAAACCCCTATCTGGTCTTGTAGCATGTGCTTCTGCTATATGAAAATTACTTTTAGTTTATTCATATTAATATGTAAAGTTGGTCTTAGGTAACTTTTGTACTAATTACAAATGGGGCATTATTTTAGTCTAAATGTATTAATCTAAGAGACTTCTGCATATTGATATTCTATAATTAAAGATCCACTGGGGCAGGGGAGACGGCTCAGTAGGATAATAGCTTGACTGGCAAACACAAGGATCTGAGTTCAATCCCCGGTTCTGCCAAAAAAAAAAAAAAAAAAAAAAGATCCACTGCTTTGTTTTAAAATCTTTTTCTTTTTTAAATGGAAAAATAATGACAAGAACAAATACTACCAACTTCACCCTAGAAAGGAAAATGAAATTTCTCTCACTAATGATCTCCTAACTGCCAAAGTCAATAGATTCTGCTCAGTAACTGCCTTCTTAGATACTCCTCCTCACTTGGAAATTTCTTCCTCCTTTTAGTTTCTAGAATATCTAGTTCTGGCTCTTGTGCTATGCTATCTGACCACTCCTTCAATAAATCTTCAACTGTTTTCCTGCCATCAATTCCTTAGACGTTTTTGTGCCATCATGGCTCTGTCCTTAGCTCAGTTCTTATACTACACAATTTTTCTTCATTATCTCACTTTTGTCTAAAATAACAACTTCTTCCTCCTTTTTTCTCCCCCCCCTTTGCTTCCCTCGTTCTCTTCCTTTTACTTTTTTTCACAGACTATTTTCCCATGTTGCTCAGGTTAGACTCAAACTCACAATCAGTTTGCGAGTATTTTCCCGGCGATGTTTGTATTTATAAGGACTACTGTTCTACAGATTCCTTGTATCTCTGTCTGCTTTGGGTATCAGGACAATATATGCCTCACCAAAAGTCAGGGATTAATCTCTGTTCCTTTATTTTCTGAGAGTTTGTGAGAGGTGATTATTATTTCTCTTATAAATGTCTGTAAGATTGCTGCTTTTAGAATTTTTTTTTTTTTTTTTTTTTTTTTGGGGGGGGGGGTGGTACCAGCGATCAAACTCAGGACCTTACACTTGCCAGGCAGGCAAGCCACTGAATTATCTCCCTGGGGCCTATTTTTAGTATCTTTAATCTTTGTAGTTTTCCTTACCTCTAATATAAGATTTTACCCAACAATACTTTAAAATGAATTATAACCTAGAAATGGCCATAAAAGTATTCACGAAGTCCCCAAAGGATCTTATTTCTTCCCTTTTTTGGTGGTACTCAAGATAGAATACAGAGCCTTTGTACTGAGCTATACTCCCACAGCATTTTTTAATTATTTGAGATAGGGTATCACTAAGTTGCTAAATTGTTCAGGCTGGGATTGAAAGTGTGCACTACCATGCTGTATTTTCTTATGGAAAAATACATAACTCCAGGGTTCTTAAAATGAAGACTATGGGAAATACTATTGTTTGATTATGGTCTGTGACTCCCTCAAAGGTTCCAGAGTTAGGAATTTGGTCCCAAATGGGCAGAGCCTGCTGGGAGGTCCAGGACTAGGAGTGTGCCCTTGGAGGGGACTATGGGAAACGTTTCTTTTTCCAGATGGAGATATAATCATTGGCTTATCCTTGCACATGCTCCTGCCCTTGCTACCCACTTGTGGGCAGACATCCAGGGATAGCCCTTACTACAAAGCTGCACTATGCCATCTGTATGCAGAACTTCCAAAACTGTGTGCTAAATAAATCTTTCTTCATAGGTAGCCTATATCAGATATGTTGTTTTAGTAATAAAAATGTGACTAATACAGAAAACAATCTAACAATTACTTATAAGTTTAAGAAAAATGAAATATTTACTTACTAGGTAACAGCTCTCTGTCAGCAGTTTCTGTGCAGCTGGGATAAGGGTAAAATAGATGTCCCTTCTCTAATGGGTATGGAATCATTCTAAAAGCTGAGAAAAAAATACATATGTTGACAATCAATTTTATCTCATTTGCTATCCTATGCTATAGATCTAAACTATTTTGGAAATATATTTTTACAAAATTATCACATAGTATTTTATTTTCTTAGACATTTTAGATGAAAGAAAGTAAGCAAAATAAGGGGAAAATAAGATTTATTTATACAACAGTCAATGGTTTAATTTAACTAGACCAAAACTAAAGGCACTGATAAGTAGTAAGATTTACTGGATTACTCAATGCCTCAGTATCCTTACTGTAGTCATACATAGACTTTACATTTATAAACTTTGCTTCTTAAAGAAATCTTCGTAAGATTGTTATATCCTTAACTTCTGGGAACCTTTTAAGAAGAGTCCCAGGGCCAGGGAGATAGCTCAGTAGAATAAGCACTTGCCTGGCAAGCGCAAGGCCTGAGTTCAATCCCTGGTTCTGCAAAAAAAAAAGAGTACCAAATGGCTCCTAAATTCACACATGAAGTTCACTAAACATTCTCTGCACAGAGGTTAATCTACCTTAGGATTCACCAAAAGGAAATTCTTTAGCTAGATCTGACCCACTATCTGTTTTTGTAAATAAAAATTTATTGGAACACAGCCATGCTGTTCATTTATACACTGTCTAAAGGTCACTTTCATTAGGTGTGGTGGCCCTGGCTGCAATCCCGGCACACAGGAGGATTTTGAGGGCAGCCTGGGCTACACAGTGAATTAAATGCCAGTTTGGGTAACGTAGTGAGACCTATCTGATTATTATTATC